GCGTTGTCAGTGCCTTAGGGCACCAGATGCCTTATGGGCTATATTTGTGCCCTTCATCTTCCCCTATAATCACACCCATACCTTGCAGATGTCATTCTGACAGTGTTCTAGATCTGCCTGAAGGGACCTCTGTTTCCTTGCTTTTAGACCATTATTCTGGTCATAGGCCTCCAGCCCTGGCCTGCTTGTTCTAGCTTGGCTTTTTTGGCCTCAGCCTGTTCTTTATTTTGGTCTCTGTGCCCCTGGCCCCTGTCTTGAGTTGTGCTCCAGCCCCCTGGCATCCCTGACCCAGGCTAGGCTCCTTGTCATCTGACACAGCCTCCTTGGTGCCCCTGGCCCAGGTTAACTCAGCACCCCCTAGCATCCCTGACCCAGGGCAAGGCTGCTCACAGTCTAACCCAGCCTCCTGGCACCCCTGGGTCTGGCAAAGCTTCTCACACATCTCTGGCCCCTGGCCCCTTTAACTGGACTCAGTCCCCTGATTTCCTGGCTCTGCAGGGTTACTATCCCCATTCTCTAAATGGGGTCCCTTCACATGGCCCCTGTGGGCTCCTATCCACCCTTTTCAGCCACACCCAGTCCTCTAGTATCAATTTAAACATAATGCAAATACAAGAAACTGCTTGCTAACTAAAACTCTGCCCCACTCTGGGTTTTTTACCATCCTGCACATCCTACCTCCCTTTGAGCTATCACCTCCCCACTCTCATGGGGGGCTTGAGTGCTTGCCAGGCTGTCTTCTTCAGTCCCTCTTTCCTTGGAACTCAGCTCCTGGCAGCATGAAAAGCAAGGCAGCCTGCTTGCTTCAGGTGCTGAGATTATATGCCCTGGAGCACTGCCTCTTCCAGTCAGGTGACTCCTTAGTCAAGCACAGGGGTTTCATTTGTGCCTAGTGGTCAGTGTGTCCCTCCCTGCTAGAGCATAACCCAGCTGGTTGTAGCTTTTACTCTCAACCTGCCTGAGAATCTGCTCCACACAATAAGCTTGTTGCAGTGCAGCTAGCTGTTGACCAGCTACCTCCCTACACAGCAAAGCTAGCCTGCTCCCCTTAAAGTAACAAGAGCCTCTGGCTCCCTCTTACAGTTCCCATAAGCTCTTTTGAAAGGAATCATTTTGTTTTCTTTTATTTTCATAGGATTTATATAACTGAGGCGAGGAAATAAACAATCATTTCCCAGTATGACTTGGAAATGTAACTGTGGAAGAATTAGAGAAACAGAAGGAGAAAAATAGAATGCAGCTCCATAAAGTTATTTACCCCATAACAGTCCAATGGACTCCTCTGTATAAGCTGCTTGCTTTAACAATGAATTTGTCAACACAAGGTACGTCAACAGCATTCTAGCCCAGTGGTTTACAGTTTAAGAAAGCATACAAAAGAGTCCTTAAGGAGTATGTTTCGAAAAGTCATTTCACAGTATCAAATTGTGCAGAAGACTGTCTCAGAGGGGCACCTGTTGTTCCTTTAAAATAACAGAATTCCTTTCAAGTGTTGTGATATATGGCAGCAGGTATTTTGCTGTAAATTGTATGTCAAAGATATCTGTATGGGAAACAAACACTAGATAAAGGCTGCTCCAGATCTGAGGAGCCTATAAACACTTAACTATTCTGGTCTTTTTACATACATATTTGGACTCTGACAGCCTTAAAACTGGGAGTTCTGACATGGCTTAGCTAGCTTTATTGGCTCTGGGACTTTGCCTGTTTTCAAGCACAGGACAACTCGCCTGAAACTTTAGCTCAATAAACTATTTGTGCAGTCATTCAGCTGCTAGCTATAGCTGAGAAAGCAAAATAGGAGTTTAGCAAAATGGCAGCTGGCATGCAAGTCCATGTTATCAAACTGATTTTTTTGTTCCCAGGACAATGACTTGGCAGAGCGAATAGCTAGGGTGCTTTTGTGTTTGTGTAGTGATTCTACTTTACCTGGAACTTCTAGTCTCTGTTTTGAAGCTTTTAGTTAACAAGCGTGAATACAGAAAGAGCACCAGATTAATTAACAACGTACAGTATCATGGAATTGTTCTGACATACAACGAACCACATTTATGCTGAGCTTGGGGTAGTGGAACAGCTTATGATTCAAATTCCCAAATTGATCCTTAACTGATCTTGGTTCCAGGGCATATGCAAAAGTGAGAGAGACCTTTTTTCTGGATTTGATTATGATGTAGTCCGAAGCAACAGAAAATCTGAGAGAAGAATTCAAAAGATTTCAGTTATTAAATTCTGAACACGATTCATTTCTCTTTTCAAATCTGAACTCAAGTACTTAAACTTAATCCAAAGCAGAACATCAATTCTTCGGCATCCTATTTATATTGCATTTCACCACAACAAAACAAAGCCCTTTACAAAACACATAAATACTAGTCCACTGAGGATGGTATTGCCAAGTCTGAGGAGTTTGCTTCTTTATTTCCTCTGCATTCTAATTATAGACGCTTTTATTTACTAGAGCTCAGATAGCACTTGTCTATTAGAAGTCCCTGAAATCTCATTTTGCTAAAATGAAAACATATTTCAAACACTTTGGAGAACTATTAAGATTACTGAATATCTAGCATGGTGCCTCCAGTCTCAGAGTGGTTCAATAGACCCCCCCAAGGGAACAAGCAAACAGCATACAATTATCACAGTAATTAAAAAGGTGCAATGACTCTTCTCTTAAAAGACTCCAGTTTTATTAATTCTATGGTACACATTTGAGAATAGCATTGTTTCACTCCTCCCAGCTTAATTGTTTTGTCATTAGTTTATCAGCATCTCTTTTTAACCCCTCGAGCCAGTTATTAGCATGTCACTTGCTAGCAGCTAACCAATAACCACTACACCTTCAAAGCAAGCATATTTAGCTGTAAAAAACCCAAATTGTAGAGATGCATTTAACGCTGTCATTCATAATTTTTCAGTTAGCTACCACTTTATGCATTTTAATTTTAAAAAAACTGCAGCACAGCTTGCTAGATTCATGAAATGACAAATTATATCACAATAGTTCACTAGGTAATAAAGCACTTCTCAGTGGATACTATTTTGCAGAAATAGATACTTGTTTTAATGGTCCATCATCCCACCTGCTAAAATGACCGCAGAAAGCATACAATGCACAGATGCACAATTAAAGTTCTGAATTTTCCGTGTCTTTCTCTGAACTCTCAGTATAGTAATCCTCATTAACTCAGCCTCTAACCTTATGGTCTGTAGTCATAGGATGAAGAGAGAAAAAACAAAGCAGCGTAGTTTCATTTTAAAGTAATTGAAGTGACCATGAATGGATTGAATAGACATTTACTGTACCTGTAAAGCTAAGTACATTTTATTCACGTATGAAAAACATTTTGGCCCAAGGACCCTTGAAACTCTATGATGGATTTAATACCCAAGTTCTGACCATCTTAATTGTTATTATATTCTAATAAGGAAAATGTTGCAGACACTAGCATCTAGTTTCTTATGTTCCCTTTTGACAAAATGCTTTTTTTTTTATTTATTTTTTTTTAATTAAACCTTATCCTTCAGTCATGAAAAGAAAACTCTTTAAGCAAAAACCAACCAGCCAGCCAGCCAATATCGACAACAGTTTGTTCAAAATGGCATAATACTGGGAATCTGAATACAACATCACCACAGCTATATCCCATGAAAAAATAATATGGATGCTGACAAATACTCCTCCTATTTGCAATGCATCATTCAGTCACTGGAAGGTTCCTGGACAGGTCTGAAAGGCTTAACTAACCCCTGGATTCACTGGAAATATTTCTAATTACTTTCTATGCTTTTAAAAACAGACAACTGATTAGAGATCAGTTCTTTAACAGATGAGCATCAATACAGAACTGGGATTAATTACTTTCCTTTTTTTGTGAATTTCTCCTTGCCTTCTGCCAGCTTTGCTGCATAGGAAGGGGATTTAAATTGTCAAGGATAAATATATATTACACATTTTAAATTCCACCCTATGTTGCTCTTTTTCTTTATCAAAAAATCCAATAAAGGCACACAGTAATATATTTCTAGGCCAAATTTAAGCTCGCAGCAAGCTTCATACCTACATTTTGTATGTATCCCCAGGCATCTTAAACAACACACGTTACAAATCTGATTTTTCAGATATACTGATTCTTTATTTACATATTCCAACTTGGGTTTTGAAAGGTAAAAATGCTTCTGAAATTCTATTGCCATATTCCTAATATTAGACTAGAAAGAACCATTTTTTAAATAAATATGTAACCCTATCAACACAATCACTGAAAATACAATGCCAAAAAGAATTTGTATTGCAGTATATTTTACTTATTTTCCTACAGCTGAATAGCAAACTAACAGTAACACTACTTTTCACCAGCATTACTGTCCAACTTTCTTTCTATTATAGCCCTCAATCTTTACCTTTTTACAGGCAGAAGTCAATGCTACTAATTACAATATTACATTATAGAGCCCTAGGTATCTATACAACATAACTCACAGGATATCATTTAAAAAAAGAACATACTGTCAGCTATGTCATAAAGCACTTCTCAACTAAATCTTGTTTATGAATAATTGCTATTATTAAATCCATTTTTCATATCTATTATATTCTCATTTATACGCTCTTCAAAAAATAATCAAGTTTCTTTCATTAACTCAAAAAATAAAAATCTAAGAAATCTAGCATTGATACAAGGAAGATGCAATGAAATAGAGAAAGCTCAACAGCATGCTGTGCATCTGAAAGTCCAGTGTTTTGAAACTACATCATATTCTGCACTAATCACTGAAAGGCCCAAACAGGTACGACTTAATGTACTGTGACACTATATGTTAGTTTCAAGGTCACCGTTTGCAAACACTAATGGCTTTTACTTAAAAAAAAAATCATTTTGACCTTAATTCCTGCATCATGCAGGTTTAAGCTAGATGATGCCAACTGTTACTGAACTAATTTGTTGGTTTCAACATCAGTGAGATGTTTACAATTTTTCCAGCTTCTGCCTGGTACTCACCAGCACATTTCGTCCTTGTTTTAAGAGCTGGGCCAGGGGATCCGGTACCTCCTTCACCTGGTCGTGTAAGCAGCACACTGATTTCATATTCTGTATCCGGATCCAAGTGCCCAATTTTATAGCTTGTGGAGTCAACTGGTTGTATGTCATACCAAGTTCCACTTGAAGTGCGATACTCCACTTCCCTCTGAATTATGGGTCCATCTCCATTGATGGAATTGGCATTCAGCTGTATCCATAAGTATGTTGCACCAACTGAAGACAGCTGAGGTGGAGCAATGGGAACAGGTGGCTCTGAAGCAAAACAAATGTTAAAAATTATTCTACAAATACTTATTCTTTCCATAAAATTCAAGTAAGCAACTTTTGCTGACCCCTAGGCAACAGTATTGAGCAAGTTATGTACTCTGGGTATCTTCACACTTTGCTATCCTGATCAATCTGAAGAAACTTGCATCTGTGGAAAGTAAAATTTCTTGTGGCTATGACCCAGGCTGGAGGGTCTTGTGAGCAACATGTTGCCCTTAGGCTACCAGCTAAAGACTGGTGAAATAAACAGTGATTTTTCGTAAGCTATACTGGAGGGGCTGCCTATGAGAAACACTGGTACAAATTTAATTATTGGTTACAGTTTTGAACAAAACAAAATATACTATAAACTTTCTAAATGAACTCTATTAGCTTACCATAATGAGAGATGTTAACCTCCATTTGATATAAAACTATATATAAACTGTATACAATTGTATATTACCTATTCACCAAACGTTAAAATATATGTATTTCTAGCATTTTTTCATACACAATCAAGGAGTTGCATCCAAGATCAACATACATTTCTCTATAGATGTAAAATGTTTGTTATATTTACACATAACTTTTGGAATTAGAACTGATATTTCAGTTTACTTCTGATGGAGGCTGACTTGCTGACAAGAATAACACAATTCCCAATTTGTACTTCTTCCTCTGTAAACTTTCAGACCTCTGTGCTGAGCAAAGTAGAGGCAGTATCCTTTCAGTTACAGTGTCAATGCACTTTCAAAAAATCTTTTTTGAGGCCCAGGGGGGTCAGAGTAAGCCCAGGGCTAGAGACTAGAAATTTCTGAGTTCTTGTTTTAATATCTTATATATTAAACTATGGGTAAGTCATTTAACGTTAGCATTACAGGTTTCCCTTGATTTATGTGGTACATGAGTTCCTGGAGAACGCTGCATAAATCGAATTCGTATAAAGTGAACCTACTTTATAATATAAGAAATAGGGATAGGTTCCTGTGTCAGCTGCTCCTGGGGCTGCTCCAGCACAGGCTGGCGTGAGTGCGGACAAGCAGAGCTCCAGGTGGTGCGGGATGCATCACTCACCCCAGCTCCTGCTGCAGCTGTCCCAGGAGTGGCCGATGCCAGCTCCCTGTAGCCGCTGGGCTGCACCGTGCCCTGGTGCAGGCAGCTGGTGCCGGCAGCTCCCAGGGCTGCTGCAGCCAGGGCTGGGGTAGAGGCAGGCAGAGCACCAGGAAGAGCATGGAGCCACCGCCGGCCTGAGCCTGCAACAGCCACTGGCCGCAGCCTGCTTTTGTCCAGCTGCAGGTAGCTGCCTGCCTCTGCTGCAGCCCTGGGACCAGTGGACACTACCTGCCTGCAGCTGCTGGGCTGCGCAAACAGTTGGAACACTGGTTAACTAGGTCCAGAGTAATGGAAGAGAATTTGGCCTAATACGTCTCACCTATGCATCAGCAAAGGATGCATAGTTTTAACGCTCACAGGTAGGCGTGCACACATGTTAGGGAAGCGGGAGCAGATTTGCTGCTAATGGCAATGAACATATCCCACTTCCTGAGGCCCTGCAATGGGCTCCAGCTGCCACTAGGGGAAGCTCCAGACTCCCCCGGGTGCTAGCCCAGGGCCTGGCAGGGAGTACCAGGCCAGGAGACACCTGTCTCCTGGCCAAGGCAGGGACATTAAACCCTGCCCCAAGGGACTGCCTGCTGCCAGGGTGGGGCCTGCTACCAGGGTGGCTCCCTGATCAGGGCAGGGGGCTGGGACCTGCCCCTGACCAGGACAGTTTCTTGTACCCTGCTCAGCTCCATGACTTCAGAGCTGGGTGGGGAACAAACTGGGAAGCCTGTTCCCTGCTCAGCTCTACAACTGTGGATCTGGTTGGGGAACAAGCTGGGTAGCCTATTCCTCACTCAGCTCCATAAGCACAGAGCTGAGTGACAAAAAAGCTTGCCAGCCTGCTCCCTGCCCAGCTCCACACTCACAAAGCTGGGCAGGGAACAGGATCTCCAGCTGCCACCAGAAGGAGAGACCCTTATCTTCCAGCCTGAGCTGCAGTTGTGGGGCTTGGGCTGGGAGATGGTTATCACCCAGCACCAGCTCCGTGACCGAAGGGCCGGCTCTGGGAGATCCTGATGCTGCGGAGCTGGTGCTGGCTGGATCTGCCAGCACCCTGCTTCCTGCTCGGGATGGTGGAGCGGGGGGGCTGGGAGATAAGGATCTGAGCATTCTAAAGGTCTGCTACTTTCTCCAAAATACTAACTGGGCAGGAATTCCATGCTGCATTTCCAGTGAGGACTATAATCCATATTGTACATACCCGCTGCCCAAGTTAAAGATAGGATTTAGCAAACACCATGCTGAAACATGATGTCAGCAATTGAGCAAATACAAGGAGTGGTATTAGACGTACTATACTATGGTGACATTTTTACTGATTCCCACATGAATAACATACTCACTTTGGCAACAGCCCAAAATATTTTGAATGATGCTTACTAATTAGTAACAGATAAATCTTGGTTAAAATACAACGTACACTCTAGGACAATTAGAAAATAGGGGAGCCCCACAGGGCCATTTAAAGAATATGAGGGAAAACTTTATTATATGTGGCTATCAATATATGATATTAAACTCTAGCTTCACCTTTTAGGGATTAGAAATTTACTGTCTTTTTTTTTTAATTATTGTTTCTGCAGTACATAAGCTATAGCTTAATGCAGAAACTGTGCATCTTTAAACAGGTCTAACTTAAATCAAAATGATTTAGCATCAATTTAAATCATTATGCTGTTTCGTGAACCCAGACGTGAAATGGAACTTTTATAGAGCAACCTAAGGCATTTATGTAGCCATGCTGAAAGAACAGTTAATTACTTTCAAGTTTCAAATGCTAGTAAAGGCTGTTGAAGTGCCATTCAAAATGCGAACTCAGGAATAAGGTCACAAAGGTTAGTGGCTACACCAATTCATTTTAAGTATTACAAGTATTTGAAATAGACATTATTTTATTGCTTTTTCATTCCTGGAGGTATTGTTTCATTCCCTTGTGACCGAAGTGCAAAATAGGTTAAACCAAGCTGTAGGGTTCTAGGAAAAACCTGCATATATCGTAGTTTTAGCTGAAGGTTGAGCTTGTATAAAATTAACCTATCACCATAAATAATGCATTTATTTTACAGTGAAAACTGGTTGAAAAATAAGGGTCATTAAGTTAAGGATATACTGTGGTAAAAATAATAATTGAAATATTCAGTGATATTTTAATGAAAGTTACAAGCTACATGATTTCTGTAAGTTAAATCACTAAATGTAATGAATTAACAAGTGTTGAACAACCATAGGTTTTACCCAAATTATTCTTTTATCTAAGCTTTTTTCCCCATTTCTAACAAGGAGAATATTTCTATTTATGACAATGATGAATCTCAGTTGGGTACTCAATTAAGAACCAGTCACAGGGACATGCAACAGTGAGAAGCATCAGGCTTTTTCTTTGGAAACACCTAAATGGTGGCCACTGAATAAGGTTCAAATAAATAATATTATTTTCTTAATTATTTTCTCACTTAAATTTTTCCAGTGGGTACAGTTCACAGAAGCATAGAAATCATACAAAAATAGGGATGGAAGGAACTTCAGGAGGTTATCTATTTCCATTAAATTTAAAATATTTGGCTTTAACCACAGGGTACATGCATTCAGTGGGTGAGGTTCATTGTAGCAAAGAGTACTGAGGTAATACTTTAAATTAAAAAGAAATGTTATTGCTCACTGTACTCATGTATAAAGAAAAATCTACAAAACTATTTAGCACTGTACTACCCTTTTAAGTTTGTCTGTCAAGATGTACTATCAAACCGTATGAAAAAAGTTGTTTGTGGACCAAATTTACTGCTTTAAAGATTGTGCAGGGGAAGAGATTTTTGCATTTCAGATCCATGGTGAAAGGATTTGGGGACACACTAACTTACAGAAAGCACATACTAGCTGCTTTCCTGTTTGTGTACAATACAGTGCTGTTCATTAATGGCGGGTCCATGAAAAACTTTATTTAGATAGCTGTAATGGTGGCCAAAATGGATGGACCAATTAAAGCAAAACTAGGGGCATCTACACAAGATGCTTACTGTAGAATTGCCTAATTAGCTCCACAGTAAAGTGTCACCATCTACACAGGCGGAGATATTAGGCCAAAGTAAACTGATTAACTCCACCATAGGTTAGTACTTCCTGACACAAGTATGGTGGAGTTATTTACTCTGCCACAGTGCATGTGTAGATGGCAACAGAGCTGGCTGGGGCATGAAGGTGCTACAGTGCAGGGGTTGATTGTCAGCTAGCCCACATTGTAGCACCCTTGTGCCCCTGGCAGCCCCTCCACAGCATGTTGAGCCAGGGCAGAGCAGCTCCAGACTGGCAGCCTGATGCCCCAAACTCCCTGCCAGCCAGGGCTGCGCTGTCCTGGCTCAATGTGCTGCAGTCCTGGGTGCATGTGTAAACACTGCACCTGGAAGCAATAAACGCTGGAGCAAACTGCACCGGAGTTTATTGTGTCACACTAATTTCACATGTAGATGCCCACACTGAGAACAAAAGTAATGCACCCAAAATGAACAGTGGCCCTTTCCTTCTGCTAAGGACGCTGCATGTAGGTAAAAAATAAAGCTACACCTGTACACACACAACTTACAAGTATACACTTATGTACTAACTACAACCACTTATCAGAGAAGAAGTGGCAGGAATATGATTCCACCTTAAATTATAACTCTAACCATTTTCTGAGTAGTTCTAGTGCCTTAATGCTTGCAGCAAAGAAATGAAATTTGGCAGGGGGGTAATCCTGGAGCCAAACAGATGCCATTTGCTATCCTCATGGAAAACAATTCGGATTTAACTGAGTTGTAACACTCAAAAGAGACATTTCTTGTCTGTTAATTACTCACTTGTCCACTGTTGTATGTTTCAGGATTTCAAGGTACCTGACTTCTAAGCAGTGGCTTTTTAAAAAA